GCTGTGGCCACAGACATGTGATTTGACGTTGAGTTTGGGGTAGCCCAATACAAAAATCCTGAGAATCCATGTGGATCCGTGCTTTGTAACCACATTTTTGCGCCATTGCGGCCCTATGCAACAGTGGGTGCGTGATTTTTTTTGGTGCAGGCTGTAGCCATGGACATGCTATGTGATCTGATGGTGAATTTGGGGTGAATTTGGGGTGACCCGATGTAAAAATCCTGAGGATCCATGGGTTTTTACCTCCCCCTCCCAAGCAGACTCTTTTATCGTGTCCCTTATCTCTCTCCCGATCCTACCAATCAGCTGCTTCCTTTAAACACTCCCTTCCCTCTTGTTTGCCTTAGTGTCTTTTCCTTAGCTGGAGCAGTTTTTTGCTCCTCCTTTTCTTCTAATTTTTCTCCTCATTGATTTAGTCTTCCTGTCTCCTCTCCTTGCAAGTGTGCTGTCTTTACCTCCCCCCCTCCCAGGCAGCCTCCTTTATCTCTAGCATCCCTTATCTCCCTCCCCGATCGCTTGCCGATTAGCGGCTTTGTTTCAACACCCACTTCCCTCTTTCAAAAAAAAAAAAAGGGGGGGAGAGCATGATCTGCTTTTCACCCCTGGGCAATTCAGCTCCAGGGACCACACATTCGCTCCATAAGATGCACAGACATATCCCCTTACTTTTAGGAAGAAAAAAGTGTGTCTTATGGAACGAAAAATATGGTAGATTACAATCAGTCCTGTGTCACCATTACAGTGGTAAACAGTGAGCCTTAGACCTATGCTCTGGCGAAGTTTCAAGCATCATCTAGACTCTATGCTAATGTATCATCAAATATGCTCTGCTGTAATATTATGGCAGCATTATCTGAATGCCAGAGAATTAGTAAGGGGGTTGTCAAAAATAGTGGAGGTTTTTTGAGGTCATATCATGTATTTATAATGCTATGACATCATTACCTGACTGCCAGATAATTAAGCTCTGGGAAAGTATAAAAAAGGGGGGGGGCTTATTTAGGCTCATGTTGAGAAGAAAGTAGTTGTATGTTTGTTGAGATTCATTACAAATTAGTAAGACACACCTGTTATCTTAAAAAGAAATGACTAATTGGTATCAGAACCAATTAGTGTGGTTGTGGTCACAGTGTGACCCAACGTGACTTACATTGAAAACTATGAAGAACAACTCAAAAAACTAAAAACACAGCTATACAATAAAAAGACTGGACTAAAAGGTGACAGGAACATAGAGGTTTTGAGCAGGGGTTGCTGGAAGGAATAAGGAGGAAGAAGGACTGGGATCCATCTTTGCGAGAAGCTGGTCGCAGAGCTGGCTGGGACAGATGCCTTGGGCTCCAGGGCTGCACTGCTGTGGGGTACAAGCCCCTCTTGAAATGACCTTGCTGTAAGATCTGGACTCCATGCAGACTAAAGGTGCAAATAGGTGAATAAACCATATTTCTTAAAGCTACAACATTATCTGCCATGCCCCAATTCTCCAAAGGACACAGACTTTTTTTACAATATTCAGATATTTCAGTTCCTATATATCCCTTCTTATTAGGTGCTCCCTGATGTTCAAGGATGGCCTCAGGATAATAACGTAACATTTAGGGGCAAAAATACAATGTAAGAAGCCAAAACTAGAAGCCAAGCTGGAGAAAATTTCCACAGCCACCATGAGCTTTCCCTTGGTGCTCAGGTAAGAGGGAATAAAAGACAACCATACACTACAGAAGACCAACATGCTGAATGTAATGAATTTTGCTTCGTTGAAACTGTCTGACAACTTCCTAGCTAGGAAGGCCACAATGAAACTTACAATGGTTAGGAATCCCACGTAACACAGGACACAATAAAAAATAGTGAGAATGTTGCTGTTTGTATTGCTGTTTGAAAACTTTCAGTGGGGAAGAGAACCTGGAGAGTCTTCCCAGAAATGTGTTTGAAATGAGCATGACTGGATGCAGCTACAATGTCTGCAATGCAGTCTATGCAGTAGCACATTCTTTGTATGCCATATACAAATTCAGCCATAAAGATATAAGATTGATAGGAGAGAAATTATTCCGCCCCCCCCTAGAATGTCCAACCATGTTGGATCACTGCAACTCATTAAAAAAGAAAGAAGAGGTAGTTTTTGATTAGAAATAAATTAATTAATGTAGATGTTTCTACATGGACAAGAGGTTTTGGCCTTATAACAACTTTAAAAGCTCACTCGCTCACATCCACTCACTCGCTCCACAGTTCCACAGTTTTGACCCAATAAGATGACAAGCAGGGTTGGTAAAGCTAACAAGGAGTGAAAACAGGTCAGTGTCTCCCCAATATAATTTATCTGCTTTTGTTTTGCTTTGTGTTGTTGTTTTGTTATAGGGCAGATTAGGAGTGATCTAGTTATTGGGTGTGTATGCTTGACTGTCTCCCCATTGTTATGGAGAGATTACTCCCTAGTGATATTTGGACTGACTGTGATTGCTTCTTCTTGTAGGGGCTAGGGTACCATTAAGGTAGTCTGCCCCAGAAGACTTTTGGAATCAGAAGGATTCTAGACTTCACTTGGCAAAATTCTAGTTCTCATGCCTGGTGCTCCCACTGATGTCCTGTATTTGTTATGGGACAGTGGGATGAACTCTTCTGAGCCCCTCTACAAAATGATGGAGCTTTGAATGGTCCACTGTTTCCCAAGGACCTTGGGTCTATGGAGTGAACTAGACATCAGAGTGCAGGTGACACAAACCCCAAAGCAAACATGACAAAACACAGCTTGAGGCACATAACAGCACCTAGTAGCAGTGATGACTGTGAAGAGAGTTTACTTTTGTGCCACCATTATGTCCAGAAGATCTGTTCTGAGTGGAAAATGGGCTTCTTATGTCCTGCCCAGATAGAGGAATGTGTGACAAATTTGCTAACCACTTTGATGGCAAAATTGTTCATGTTTTCTCTGAACTTGATACTGCAGTTGAATCAAACCTTGGTAATATCTTAGTTTCATCTGGATCTGTTTGAGTTGCTACAGCCTGGGCAGGAAAACTGCATGGATTTGGCTGACTACATGCCCCCTCAAACTTTCCCATTTGTGCTTGTGCAGTCAAGTCATGAGGCACTGATGGGGTGCATTCTGAGAGTGGCTAATATTTTCTTGTGGGAAGTAATGGTGCCTTCTGCCTCAAACGAAGCGAAGGTTTGGCCCTCCTGAAGAAACTTTCTGAGCAATGTTCTCAAGAAAGTAGGGGTTGGGCAACTGAAGGCACTGGCAGAGGAAGGGGGTGCAGTAGGTGCTGTCCGCCCTGGGTATCTTCCATGGGAGGGGTGAGCCCTGCCCCCAGGGCACAGCATGTGCCCTGCTCCAGGTGCCAGAACCGCTAGCTCCGCTTCTGACTGAAGGCACTCTTACATCATGTGGATTAGGCACGTATCCCACATCAGGCAGCCCACCTTCTACCTGATAGGAATCTGGTAGTTGACCTTGTGTTGGGGAGTTGCCCCCAACATGGATTGGGGGCCACATCCTCACACAGGCCAGCATTGGGTGAAGTGTATTGGCTCATTGGTCTCCCTGTTGGTGATGGGAGTTGTAGCTCAGCAACATCAGGAAATTGGCCAGCATTGTTTTAACATTCTTTTGAGGCCCACAGCCATGTGCTTAGTTCTGGTCCCTGAATGAGAAAATCATACTTTTGCTGAGCTGTGACAAACATGTTTTCTTCACCAGTTTGAAGCAGAATGCACAACCATGGGTATAATTATCCAAGGAAGTTTGATGAACAATTATCTTTATTCAAAAAGTCTCTATGGAATTTCACTGGCTCTGAGCAAAACTGTTAGCCAATATTGTAAAGGATGCATAAACCACATCAAATTCAAGACTAGGAATGATGGATAGACAGGTTTGTGCTGATTCACATTTTCCAGTTCAGGCATCAAATCACCTCCTTTGTAATCATGACAGTTGAGAAACTAGGACAACTGTGTGTAAAGGGAAAAATCGTATTCTGGATGAGGCTGTTGGCGATCTTGACACTGCTGCTCTTGCTGTTGCCTCACACAATGTGCCATTTTGATGTTTTTAAATGCGTCAACAGTGACCCCTATGCTATTATCCACAAGTATTGTCAGCCAGGTGACATCCTCATTGGTGGTCTCACTTCTCTGGTTTTCATCACTTCAGACACAATAGCCTTCACAAACCACCCACACCAGTCAGTGGTTGAGGAGCCTGCGTAAGGAGTCATTTTTAGGCTTCAATTCCCAAACAAGCAATATTAATTTATTCAGATAGTCCCATGCACTCTCTCTCTCTCTCTCTCTCCCCTCTCCTTAAATTTATTTCCTGCCTTCCTTCCGTTATAGAATCAAAAGCAACATCATGATTCCTAAATGGTCTTCCATCTAGGCACTGATCAGACCCAGACCTGCTTAGCTTTAACAAGGTGGTGGCCTCCTGTGCCTTCATACTGGAACTGAATATTGCATAGTTATGAGATGGAAATAAACGTGTCATTCCTCACCCTGAATACCATCAAGGCCAGTAATGATGTTCTTTTACTGAACATGCAGGAGCAGGGGATGGCCAGTTGCATTGGGTCTTACTGCTTCCCCAGTGCTGTGCCCCTCAGCCTCTCTCTCTCCTTTTGTGACACACAGAGTCACTTTCTTACATCACCTTAATCTTAGTGCCATTGATACACTTACTGTATCAGACCCAGCATTTCCACACCCATGCACAATATGTTTAGCAATTTGAGGTGATGTAAGATTCTGAAGGTTCTCTGTTCTGAGGAGAAAACAAGACAGTAATTATTATTGTATTAACTTCAGAATATCCCTCTGATGCAGTATGTCACTCTCTTTGTAGCTTACTGACTAAAAACTACCAGCACATCCTGGCCTTGGCATTTGCGGTAAAGGAGATAAATGAAAACCCACATATATTGCCCAATACCACATTGGGTTTTCACATCTATGACAGCTATTTCAATGCAAGATGGACCTTTCATGCCACCATGAATCTCATCTATGCACAGGAAAGGTTTAGACCCAACTTCATGTGTAATGCTCAGAGCAATCTGATAGCAGTCATTGGGGGACTGGACTCTCAAACTTCCATAAACTTGGCAGTCCTGTTAAGCATCTACAAAATCCCACAGGTAGGCAGTGTGGCGAGTAGTATGCAGAAATTTAACAAGTCATTAACAATGTGATTGGAAACATTAGAAGTAATCTAGATGTTGTTGGACCATGTTTCATCATCTGCAGCCAGAATGGCCAGTGGTCAGGGATGACAGAAGTGATATTCTAACAACATATGTAAGATCACAGTTTAGCCACATCAGATGGAAAGAAGACCCACTGAGTTCAAAGGGACTTACTACCAAGAAACTGGGTGAAAGATTGAAGCCTAAAATGTCTATTGTCTTCCAAGCTAAGTTTTATATCTGTGAAAACTGAGTCGCAGAATTTAGCTACTGTTTGAAAATCAGATTTAAGTGTTGTAAGTTGCCCTGTGATATTTGGATGTAGGGTAGCATATATATTTAATAAATAAATCAAACAATATTTGTATGGTTTATTCAAAAATATGTTATAATTGTGCCATAGTAAAGAGAAGGGGAGTGCCCTTTTAGATTAGTGTGATCTCCTGAACCAATATAATCATTGCCTTTGTATTTATACCATTTTCAAAACAAGAGGTCTATTTCCTTTTCCTTAATTTCTCATTCATGACCAATATTTACTTGTTGATATTTGGGAACAAGGCTGACTATTGAGCAATAGTATCATCACTCTTCTTCTTCTTCTTCTTCTTCTTCTTCTTCTTCTTCTTCTTCTTCTTCTTCTTCTTCTTCTTCTTCTTCTTCTTCTTCCTCTTGTTCCACACTTCCCTTTAGCTCATCTATGGCTGTGCCCCAACAATGAATGATGAAAGTGAAGCATTTCCCTTTTATAAAATGGTCCCAAATGAATCTCATCAGTACATGGGGATTCTCAAGTTGCTGCTGCATTTCAACTGGACATGGATTGGGGTCCTTGTTTTAGATGATGAAAATGGAGAACGAATTGTTCAGGCTGTGCTTCCAATGTTTTCCCAGAATGGCATTTGTTTTGCTTTTGTAGAAAAGCAAATGAAAATATCTTTCATTGATAGTATGCTGGACATGTTGAAGCAGGGGTTGAAAATATATCAAATGATTATGGAAAGCAAGGCTAATGCATTTGTTTTCTTTGGAGAAACGCAGTCCACAACAGCAATAAGATGGTGGCTGTCTTTACCAAAATTCAATTACACGGAAAATATATCAAAAGGTATTGTCTGGATTATGACAGCCCAAATGGACTTGGGATCATTTTCATATCAAAGGAACTGGGATGTTCAAGCCATCCATGGTTCACTGTCCTTCACTATTCACTCCAGTGAAGTGTCAGGATTCTCCAAATTTCTTCAGAGCGTAAACCCTACAAAGATAAAAGGTGATGGCTTTATAAGAGAATTCTGGAAGCAATCTTTCAACTGTGCATGGTCAATTTTGGTCGCAGACAAAGAGGATGAGAATATTTGTACCGGGGAAGAGAAGCTAGAGAGCCTTCCAGGGGCTTTTTTTGAAAGAAGCATGACTGGCCACAGCTATAGCATTTACAATGGAGTTTATGCTTCAGCTCATGCCTTGCACACTCTGCAATCATCCACATCCAAATTTAAAGCAATGGTGCATGGAAATTATGTTAATCTTCAGAATAAGCAGTCATGGCAGGTAAAGCCCTCAGCAGACTATGCATAATATATATTTGGCTGCAGCAATACTCCACACAGACCTCTCCCTCCTCCATCTGTCCAATTCTCACCAAAAATGTATCCTTCAGAGGAGTTGCTCCAGACCATTGATTTTGTTTCCAATTTCTGAACTCTTTACAAGCAACTAAAACTCTGCAGATTATTCCAACTGTAGTTACACCATTGATTTGTGTAACGACACTTTATAATCAATTTCCTAATGATTCCTAACATTTTGCCTTTTTCACAGCTGCTGTAAACTAATTGTAAACATGCATAAGGATTGTGAAATAACCCTGATGTGCATATGTTTGCAGGTCAAAAAGGTTCTGACGTATCTTATTTACAAGTTTATCTTATTTACAATCTCACAAGTGATTCTTCATTTCTTTTTAAAAAATAACAAACCCATCACACTGATAAATTATATGTATACTAGACTCCCAGTGGTCACTCACTAGGTCTCTATTTGCTTAGCAGTATCAATTGTTTCCATACGTTTCACTGGGTACTTCTGTCTTATTTTCAATTTAGATTCATCATCTTCTGAGACGTATTTCATTTAACAACAGCTCTGGGGACAAAGTTTCCTTTGACCATAATGGGGAACAAATAGCTGGATTCGATATTATAAACTGGGTCACTTTCCCAAACCAATCCTTCATTCGACTGAAAGTTGGAAAAATGGATCCTTTGGCTCCTGAACACCAAGTATTTACCATTAATGATGATGCTATCATGTGGCACAGCAAATTTAATCAGGTAGGATCCAAATGCAGGCATTTATGGAAGTCTTCAAATTCTAAATAAATGGTGAGGCCAAGGTCTCGGATATTGTTTATGAGATAGTAAAGTATATGTATGGACTGGACTATTCTACTGCAGATTGCAGGTGGAACCTCACATGACTGAAGTCTTGACATTGAGAACAAATTAAATCACTGCATGTTGAAAACTAGATGTCAGGAATAAGTGTGATCTGGCCTGAAGTGGTACAGTTCAGAAACTGGTTTGCCACATCATCAGTCTGATCATTGAACAAAGTCAGATTCATATTACTGAACTGCAAAGTCAGTTCATTTAGGCATTATTGAGCCCCTTTTAATTATTGACCTTGTTTGGAAATGGCATACTGCTAATTTATTGCTCTAGAATTAGAGGGTCTAAAGGGTCCTGACATATTGCACTTAAGTCTGTCACTTGGAAAATGTAATTGAAAGAACACTTCTGGAAAATGATGAAGTGGTATAAGTAGATAAGGGGAAAAAATGTTTGAATGTGGTCTTGTAGCTGCATACACTTCCTTAATAGTGCCTATCATACTAGAAGGCAGAAATGCATTTTTGACGATGGTAATCAGTGCTACAAAGAAATGTATTCAGAGTGAGAAGAACAAACCCTGCCCTCTGCCCCAGCATTCTACGTGGTACAAGATTAGTTAGTTCTTACTGAGCTCTAAAGTAGGATTTTTTGCATTCATCCATGATTGGACATTTGGCTCATCCTTTTTCACCTGCTCCTTACTGGTCCATCTGGGTGTGCTCCTCATTCTGGGTGTGGTGGTTGATTAGTTTGTTTGGCATTTTCTTCTGTCAGAATCACCAAGTAATGTGAACAGGGAGGGACTTTAGGACAGTATTCCTTGGTGAGCACTTCCATGCATCTTTTGGATTAAGGGCAATAACCAGCCTACTTCTCATTGCCACTCAGCTTGTAGGACTAGGGTTGGTGGGATCTTCTTTGTACCTGGAGGTTCATCCTTCTGAACACTGACCAGCTTATGGAGAGTGGAGAACATGGATGCTTCCTGCATGAATCATCTTTATCATCCTTGAGCCAAAGTGTTGTTGCCCTAGCAAAGTAACAACATGAGTCTAGCTCAGTAGTCTTCTCAATAGAGGGATGCTGGCTTGAAAGAAAAATAACTTATAGTTGCACCAACTGTAGGTCCCTAACATGCTACATAAATAAAGTTATGACTATATACCCCTTGTATTGCGTCTTCATTCTGGGGTGTAGGGAAGAAGGAACAGACTAAAATGTAATACGGAACAATATTACATTGTGTTAACAGCCAATGGATCAACCAGTCAGAAAATTGTGATCTGCATATTTCTGAGTATTATACATTCTTTTCTTTCATTTATGCAAAGGCACTGCCCTTTTCTCTGTGTAATGAAAATTGCCACCCCGGTTACAATAAGAGGGGAAAGGAAGGGGAGCCCTTTTGTTGTTATGATTGCATCCCATGTCCAAAAGGAAAAGTTTCAAACCAAACAGGTAAGAGATATGACATTTTGTGATAAGAATATAATGAATCAAGTTCTGTATTTCAGCTTTACATGAATTTTCTAGATTTCCATGAAAACATTTTCTGGAAGATGAAATTTTAAGAAAATATGTGTGCCTGTGGGCAGGATGTAAACATGAACCAGTTAGAAATCTATAGCCATTAAAAGTCTGCTAGACTGTCAACAAAATAACAGCAGCAGCAGCAGCAGCAACAACAACAACAGTAATGAATAAAGGTATTATTATAATGCATTTGAGAAATCAAAACCACATTTATTTTTTATTTTTCAGATATGGATCATTGTTTTACATGCCCAGAAGTTTATTATCCAAATAAGGACCAGGAGTTTTGCATTCCTAAAGTCATAACATTCTTATCTTATGAAGAACCTTTGGGGCTAAGTTTATCCATTTGTACTCTTTCCTTTTTTATCATCACAGGTTTGGTGCTAGGAACATTTGTGAAATACCAACACACTCCTATAGTCAAAGCAAATAACCAAAATCTCACATACACTCAGCTTGTCTCCCTCTTGCTCTGTTTTCTTTGTGCTTTGCTATTCATTGGCCGACCTGAGAAAGTGAAATGTCTCTTGCAACAAACTGCTTTTGGCATAATCTTCTCCGTGGCAGTTTCTAGCATGTTGGCAAAAACCACTACAGTGATTCTTGCTTTCATGGCCACAAAGCCAGGAAGCAGGATGAGGGTATGGATGGGAAAGAAATTCACCAACTCCATTCTTCTGTTTTGCTCCCTTATTCAAATAGGCATTTGTACTCTTTGGCTAGCAGTATCTCCTCCATTCCCAGATACTGACATGGATTCAATGACTGATGAAATTATATTGGAATGCAATGAGGGGTCAGCTGCCATGTTTTACTGTGTCCTGGGGTACATTGGTTTCCTGGCCATTCTTAGCTTCACTGTGGCTTTCAAAGCCAGGAAATTGCCAGACAGTTTCAATGAAGCCAAATTCATCACTTTCAGCATGTTGGTCTTTTGCTGTATTTGGTTATCTTTTATTCCAGCCTATCTGAGTACTAAGGGAAAATACATGGTAGCAGTGGAAACCTTTTCTATCATAGCCTCCAGTGCTGGGTTACTGGTCTGCATATTTTCCCCTAAATGTTACATTATTCTTTTGAGGCCTGAACTGAACATTAAGGAGCACTTGATGAGCAGAGGGAAAATGTGATATGTTAAGCCTCTAGGTCTTCTGATATTAGCTTTTATTGAGCAGTGAAATCATGCCCTGGGGAGAAGATGTGCTTTTAAAAATCCTCCCAGCATGAGAAACAATTTGGGGCTAACAGACTGAGAACTGCCTTTCCTTCTTTTGGTATCCTTTCAACAACTCTTCTATTAAAATATACTCAACTCTTTTTGTTGTTGTTTTTTAAAGTAGGTTTTCAGCAGCTTACTTGAAAGGCTGCATCAGTGCTGGTTTTCTAGAATAAGACATGCCAGAACTCCCATGAATGTCTCCCATGAATGCAATTGCACCCACCTGAGAGGTGCCAGAACTGAGTTCCAGTCAGTTCCAACTGAAAAAAACCGTGGGCCGCATTATGCTTAATACAGCCAGTAATTGTCTGCAGTCAGGAAAGTATCTCCTGCAAGTTCCAAGCATCTCATAAGCCTGCTCCTCAGTAACTCAGAGCAGCATATTCAGTATGGCTGCCGTAAGAGCCAACACCTAGGAGCTGAGTTGCCTTCAGGTCACAATATTTTTTTTGATGGGCATTGCTATTCAAATGATGTGTGTGTGCTGCATCTTCTGATTGATTATGTAGGCTGGGGGTTACCTGCCCCACCCCTGAATATTTTATTCAAGTTGACACCCCTGATGGTTGCCCCTGTCCTGTGGAATATCATTCCCATTAAGATGTTACAGGAACCCACTATCCTAAGGTTACCAGACGTCCCCATTTCCCGGGGACAGTCCCCGGATTTACAAATTAGTCCCCATACAAAATCCATTGAAGTTGAAAAGTGTCCTCGGATTCATTGAAAAAAATCTGGTAACCTTACACTATCCATATTTTCTGCAAGCAATTAAATGTATGTTTGTCCCAACTAGCTTTCCTGGCTGGAAAAAATGGTCTGTGGCAAGATTATCTATTTTGTATGATATAAGTTTTGTTTTAAATGTATGCTGGGGATTTTGTATGTATGCATTTTTAACATGTTTGTTTGTTTGTTTGCTCTTTTTATTGTTCATTGCCTTCAAACAATTGAACAGAAAGTGACTATTCATAACAATAATAGGCAATCTTAAAAATATTGTGGTCAGGACCAGAGGGAGAAGGTATCACTGCAAAGAAGGGGAAAATGCAGGTGTCATGTGGGTGGTGCCTGTAATCCTCTGAAAAGATTGTTAAGCATAATTGCTTAATAACACACTGAAATGGAGAAATGCCTGTATGTATATTGTGCAGGGCTTAACATTAGAACATTCCATTGGAGCATACTAAACTAGAAGGAAGCTTTCTAAGCGTCTTAGTTGATAATTAACTGTTGATGTTCTCTGCTAGTCCTCATGTGTGTGTTTAACCTCAGATCCCATGAGGATATTCAACTACAAATTCACCATCTTGAAGATAGTTGCCTATTGGTCTTTTGTTTCCAGGCACAGTAAGAGAAGGATGTGATAAGATGCCCCTCCAGGTGCTACATAGCCTTAGGCTGGATGCAGGCTAATGTAGGCTATGGGAGAGACAAGAGATTTGATTTTTGCTCTTATAGTAATTATGACATATATTTAAGAAGAACCTATGTTTGAATATGCATACAGTGGTGCCTCGCAAGACGAAATTAATTCGTTCCGCAAGTTTTTTCTTCTTGCGAGTTTTTCGTCTTGCGAAGCACGGTTTCCCATAGGAATGCATTAAAAATCAATTAATGCGTTCCTAGGGAAACCGCTTGCCAGGCTGGCGGTGCGGAGAAGGGCTTTTCTCCCCACCGCAAGCCTTCAGCACAGGTACGGGAACAGAGGGGAAGGCGCGCAGTGCTTTTCCTCTGTTCCCGGGGCTTGCGTGGGAGGAGGGTTTTTCCTCCCCACCGCCAACATTCAGAACAGCATTCTGAATGTTGGCGGTGGGAAGGAAAACCCTTCTCCCACCCCAAGTCTTCAGGACAGCCATCCGAAGGCTGGCGCGGGGAGAAGGTCTCTCCGCCCCCCCCCCCACGCCAGGCTTCGGTGCATCCTTCAGAGGCTGCTGCCATAGTCACGCGTCACTTCTCCAGCTGGGAGAGGGTCGCGGGGCTATGGCTTCTTTAGCCCCGCGCGCGCTCTCCCGGCTGGAGAGGTGACGGGCGCCTATGGAGGTTCCTGCCATAGGCGCGCGTCACTTCTCCAGCCGGGAGAGGGTCGCGGGGGGCTGGTTTAGCCCCGCGCGCGCTCTCCCGGCTGGAGAGGTGACGGGCGCCTATGGAGGTTCCTGCCATAGGCGCGCGTCACTTCTCCAGCTGGGAGAGGGTCGCGGGGGGCTGGTTTAGCCCCGCGCGCGCTCTCCCGGCTGGAGAGGTGACGGGCGCCTATGGAGGCTCCTGCCATAGGCGCGCGTCACTTCTCCAGCCGGGAGAGGGTCGCGGGGGGCTGGTTTAGCCCCGCGCGCGCTCTCCCGGCTGGAGAGGTGACGGGTGCCTATGGAGGCTCCTGCCATAGGCGCGCGTCACTTCTCCAGCCGGGAGAGGGTCACGGGGGGCTGGTTTAGCCCCGCGCGCGCTCTCCTGGCTGGAGAGGTGACGGGCGCCTATGGAGGTTCCTGCCATAGGCGCGCGTCACTTCTCCAGCTGGGAGAGGGTCGCGGGGGGCTGGTTTAGCCCCGCGCGCGCTCTCCCGGCTGGAGAGGTGACGGGCGCCTATGGAGGCTCCTGCCATAGGCGCACGTCACTTCTCCAGCCGGGAGAGGGTCGCGGGGGGCTGGTTTAGCCCCGCGCGCGCTCTCCCGGCTGGAGAGGTGACGGGCGCCTATGGAGGCTCCTGCCATAGGCGCGCGTCACTTCTCCAGCCGGGAGAGGGTCGCGGGGGGCTGGTTTAGCCCCGCGCGCGCTCTCCCGGCTGGAGAGGTGACGGGCGCCTATGGAGGTTCCTGCCATAGGCGCGCGTCACTTCTCCAGCTGGGAGAGGGTCGCGGGGGGCTGGTTTAGCCCCGCGCGCGCTCTCCCGGCTGGAGAGGTGACGGGCGCCTATGGAGGTTCCTGCCATAGGCGCGCGTCACTTCTCCAGCCGGGAGAGGGTCGCGGGGGGCTGGTTTAGCCCCGCGCGCGCTCTCCCGGCTGGAGAGGTGACGGGCGCCTAAGGAGGTTCCTGCCATAGGCGCGCGTCACTTCTCCAGCTGGGAGAGGGTCGCGGGGGGCTGGTTTAGCCCCGCGCGCGCTCTCCCGGCTGGAGAGGTGACGGGCGCCTATGGAGGCTCCTACCATAGGCGCGCGTCACTTCTCCAGCCGGGAGAGGGTCGCGGGGGGCTGGTTTAGCCCCGCGCGCGCTCTCCCGGCTGGAGAGGTGACGGGCGCCTATGGAGGTTCCTGCCATAGGCGCGCGTCACATCTCCAGCCGGGAGAGGGTCGCGGCAGGCTGCTTTAGCTTCTTTAGCTTCGGAGCATCCTTCCGAAGCCTGGCGGCGGGAAGAGGTCTCTCCGCCCCCCCGCCAGCCTTCGTAGGAGGTCCGAGGACAGTGGGGAAGACGCGCTGCGCTTCCCCGCTGTCCCGGAGATTTCCCTATGGGCTTTCATCTTGCGAAGCAAGCCCATAGGGAAATTCGTTTTGCGAAGCGCCTCCAAAACGGAAAACCCTTTCGTCTAGCGGGTTTTCCGTCTTGCGAGGCGTTCGTCTTGCGGGGTACCACTGTATGCTTTATATAACTTTCTGGATGCATCATTGATATTTTTGTACCTGTTTTGAACAAGTTCTTTGAACAATAATTATGGGTCTGGATGATGTTTTATTCCAAGAGGAGTCGGTTTTTATGCATCCAATTGCTTCGTGCTGTGCAATATTAATATATGCAATAAAGATTCCTCTCATTACATGCTGCAATCATCGTCATTAGTACTTATCTAGTAAACAATGTGCTAGTTTTATTTATTGAATGAGTATTGTTACTGGCCCTACTGATTTAAATGTGTGAATGCACTGGAATGGTAACCACAATACTGAACTATTGATATATGCCCATTTGACACTGCATGCATGAAATCTCCATATTAAAGTGCAGTCCTTTGCAACTCTACTTACAATAAAAGTAAGCATCATTGATTTGTTGCCTCCGGAACTATGTAAAATATATTCCAGTTGTGGACTCCTTGTGCTTGTTAATCTGTTTACTGAGATTAACTCAACAATCATAATCCCTTTCAGTTGAAAATTGATGGTGGTTTATCCAATTTTTAAAAGGGTAACCCCTCTCTTCCCAAATAAGTTAAAATAATAATAATAATCCCAAATGAGTTATAATTTTAGTGCAATGGAGATATGTGCCAAATGCATGTAATGAACCGATCATAGTTTTGGTTTTGATGGATGAAGCAGTGCCCTTTTCTTACTGGCCACTTTTATATCCCAGATGCAAGTATAGACGAGCAGAACAAAGAGAATGAACTCACTACCAGCTCTTTAGTCACCCCTCAGGTAGATCAGAGGTGCCTAAGAATGGAAGGATAAAACAAATGAATGGACACAGCACCTCCTTTTTGAGACCTAAATTTATTTATGCTTTTCTCTCACTGTTTTTCTCTTTCTCCCATGAGACAAGAGATGCATGAACCCACACCACAAATTTTGAATAGTTTGAGACACATGCTATGGGGATAGTCCAATGAACAGTGTTTTATTTATAGACTATTACATTTACAATTTGGAACTGAAAATACAGCAAGAAACACAGTGACATCTGACATCAAACTGATTTAAATAATGCCAAAGGAAACTGTCCTTGCAATGTTGCCAAACAGATGGCAAAGAACAAAATAAAGAAACCCATCTTTAGTAACTCTGTGACATGAAATCCACAAGAAAACAATGGGCAATAGTAATATAAAGTGGAAGAATAGGGTTTTGAAATCTTAAAAAAAAATCTGGTTCATCCTGAAAGACTGTGCTGTTAAAACTCTAAGGAATACGTACTTGTCTCTCTTGAGAATTTTCTCAATGTCTACATGGGTCTTTGTTTTATTTGGGGCTTAACTTTTGAT